AAAACAGAACCTTTCAAATGTTCATTAAGATTCACAGAAATAGGAAAAATCCTAAAATTTTTATGGAACCACTAAAAAATATGACCAGCTAAAGAATATTAAGAAAGAAAACTAATGCTAGAGATATCATGCTTCCTAATTTCAAACTATTACAAAGACATAGTAATCCAAAGTATGAGACTTTCGTGAAAATAGATATAGGCAAAAACAGAAAAATAGACATACAGATTAATGGTATAGAACAAAAAAAAACAGAAATAAATCCATACATATACATATATATAGCAACTAATTCATAACAAAGAAACCAAGAATGCAAATGGGGAAAGGTAATCAACTTAATGAATCGTGTTGAGAAAACTGGATAAGCCATAAGCAAAACAATGAAGCTGTTCTGTTTTTTAAATACTGTACATAAAATTAACTCCAGACGAATTAAGGATTTGAACATAAGACCTGAAAAATATACAACTCTTTTGAACATATGTGATTAATTCTTTGTCAATGATTGTGGCCGTTTTTGGCTTTGCCACCAAAAAGAAAAGACAGAAACAGTACAACTACATTCAATTAATAACTTTCTGCATAGCAAAATAACCCATCAACAAAATAAAAGGTCAGTATACCAAATGGGAGAAAATAACAGCAAATCCTATCTTTTTTTTTTCTTTTTGGGTCACACCCGGCAATGCACAGGGGCTACTCCTGGCTCTGCTCCAGGAATTACTCGGGGGACCATATGAGATGTTGGGAATAGAACCCAGGCTGGCCGCGTGCAAGGCAAACGCCCTACCCTCTGTGCTATCATTTCAGCCCATCTTTTTTTATATATAAATTTATTTATTGAATCACCGCGAGAACAGTTACAAAGCTTTTGGGTTTAAGTCTCGGTCACACAATGATGAAACAACCATCCCTTCACCGGTGCACATTTTCCCCACCAAAAACCTCAGTATAGCCCCCATCCCATCTCCTCCCTTACCTGTGTGGCAGATGGTTTCCACATTGCTCTCTCTCTACTTTGAGTACATTCAATATTTCGACACAAGATCCACCATTATTATTTGTATTTTACCCCAACACTCACATCTGCCAAAATAGCAACATTAGACAATATGTTTTCCATCAGCAAATCCTATCTTATAAGCACTAACATCCATAATATGTAAAGAATTCATGAAATTCAATAGCTAAAAGCTTTGATTTTTAAATGAGCAGGCCTGGAGAGATAGTACAGCGGATGGAGTGTTGAGTTTGCACAGAATGACCAGGGTTTGATTTCCAGCATCCCTTATGGTCCCCCAAGCCTACTAGGAGTGATTCGTGCATGTGAAGCTAGGAGTAACACCTGAGCATTGCCAAATGTGGCCCCAAAAAACAATAAAATAAAATAAAAATGAGCAGAAGAAAAAGTACAGCTGGTAAGGTGTTTGCCTTGCAAAGGTCAACATGGGCTTGATATCTGGCACCCCTTATGGTCCCCCAAGCACTACCAAGAGTGATCCCTGAGCACAGAGTCAAGAGTAAGCCATGAATACTGCCAGATGTAAACCAAACACTAAAGAAATAAACAGAAGATCTAAAGACACATCTTTTCAAATTGGACAAATGCATAATGAACAGGGATACAAAGAGGTACAAAACACCATGTATCATTAGGGAAATGCAAATCAAAATCACCATGAGATATCACCTTGTACCTTAGAATGGCCATTATTGAATGACAAGAAATAACAAACATGGAGGGTACAGAGAAAAGGAAACACTTGTGCCTTGTTGATGGGCCTGTAATTTGATTAAAACACTATGAAAAAAACAGTATAGATGTTCCTTGGAAATGGAAATATAATTACCATAGAATGCAACTTATCTCTTCTGTATATATGTATAGAACACTAGGTCAAAAAGATAAAAGTGCTCCAATGTTAACAGAAGCCTTATTTGCAATAGCCAAAATATGGAAACAGCCTAACTGTCCACCAATCATCAATCACAATCACAATCACAACCATCCTGTTATTCGTCGATTGCCTCGAGCAGGCCCCAGTAACGTCTCCTTCGTCCTAGCCCTGAGATTTTTTTTTTTAAAAAGTGCCATATTCAAGGCTCTTTCAGAGTTAGGAGAATGAGACCCTTCATTGTTGCTGGTATTTGGCATATTGGGTACGCCACCGGGAGTTTGCCAGACTGCCGTGTGAGCAGGTTACATTCGGTAGGCTGCCAGTTTGTCCAAAGTAGGAATGAGATGATAAGATGTCGCTTCCGGGAGCTGGGTTTTATAGTCTCTGAGTCTTGGCCATTGATGGGATTACACGGCGCCAGGGAGCCAGTTGGTGGGTGTGACCCCCGCCTACTGGAATTTGGAGGATCTGGGTGGAGGATGCTCAGCCCCGATCCGAGTAGGCCAATCATAAGATACACAGAAACAGTGGAGTTTTATTCAGCCACAAGAGAGAAGCTTGCCATTTGCTAATAAATTGGATGAACTTTGAGCACATTATCCTTAGGGAAATAGACAGAGAAAGACAAATACCTTATTATCTCATCTCACATATTTAAATGGAATCATAAAAAAAAAATAACTGAACTCAAGTACTCAAGAGGAAGACAGGAGGTAACAGGGGCAGAAGTCAGACGCCTTGGGCACATTGGTGGGGTAGAGGTGTGATATATGGATATATCTAAACCACAGAGTCAAGAATACGAGATCCAAAGACCAACAACCAAACTTAAAAATGTTCTAGTCAAGGAGGCAGTCTGGTGGGGGGGGAGGGGGAGGTGAGAGGATGGGATGGGGGAGGGAAACTGGGGACACCGGAGGAAGGAAGTTGGCACTGGTGATGGGATTATTGCTGAAAATTTGCATCCTGGACCTCAATTATGAAAAATTTTTAGTGTCTCAGTGCCTTAAAATTTATTTTTAAAATTTTTTAAAATGTATTTTTAAAATAATTTTAAATAAATACACTGCATTACAAAGAATAGTGCATTGGTATTTACTAGAGGCAGGGTTTAAGGGCAAAATGGGTGAATGTGGCCAAAGGTACATCCAGTTATAATTAAATCAGCCCTAAGATAAAATGTATAATATGGTGACTACAGTACTATGTTGTATATTCAAAAGTTTTGAAAAGAACGGATGTTAAAACTTTTCATCAAAAAAAAAAATAAACTGGGGCTTAAAGAGTCTGGCAAACTCCCTGTGGCGTACCCAATATGCCAAATACCAGTAACAATGATGGGTCTCATTCTCCTAAAGAGCCTTGAATATAATCTCAGGGCTAGGATGAAGGAGACGTTACTGGGGCCTGCTTGAGGCAATCGATGATTAACAGGATGATTTGTGATTGATTTTGTGAAACTGGGGCTGGAGTGATAGCATAGTGGGTAGGGTGTTTGCCTTGCACGCGGCCAACCCAGGTTCGATTCCCAGCATCCCATATGGTCCCCTGAGTACCTCCAGGAGTCAATCCTGAGTGTATGAGCCAGTAATGACCCCTGTGCATTGCTGGGTGTGACCCCAAAAAGAAAAAAAATAAATTGTGTGTGGTGAGTAATTTTAAGTAGATACATTGTGGGGAATCTCTTTATAATACAGATAGAGATTAATCATTAGGCTATACATCTGAAACTGATACAGTGTTACAAGCAATTATATCTTAAGTTTTTTAAGGCATTAAAGCTGTACCAAGATTTTCTTCCACAAACTAATTAATAAACATGAGTTCTTACGTTGATTCAGTATCACTGCTGAGTATTAGAGAGCCCAGAACAACAGCAAAAATTGTATGGGCTGGGCATATAGGTCAAAGTGTCCAGCCTGTGTCCAGCATGCGTAAAGCCCTAAGTTCAATCCTCAGCACTGAGTAGTCTCCAAGCACCTCAGGGTGTGACTTTGGTGGCCCCTAGTACCAGAAGGTCCCAAGAGACTCCAACACTGACTCATCAAGTCCACAATGCAGAAGTGGAGCATCACCAGGAATCACCTTTAAAAATTAAATAAGAGGTTGGAGCCATAGCATAGCAGGTAGGGTATTTGCCGTGCACACGGCCAACCTGCGTTTGATTCCCAGCATCCCATATGCTCCCCTAAGCACTGCCTGGAATGATTCCTGAGTGCAAAACCAGGAGTATCCCCTGAGCATCGCCAGGTGTGACCTGAAAAGCAAAAATAAATAAATAAATAAATAAATAAATTTTTAAAATTTTAAAAATACATAAAATAAGGGGCTAGAGCGATAGCACAGCAGGTAGGGCACACGGCCGATCCAGGTTCAATTCCCAGCATCCCACGTGGTCCCCCGAGCACTGCCGGGAGTAATTCCTGAGTGCATGAGCCAGGAGTAACCCCTGTGCAACGCCGGGTGTGATCCAAAAAACTAAATAAATAAGTAGAAGTTAAATAAATAAAAATTAAAAAGATGGACTGGAGAGATAGTACCGCAGGAAGGGCATTTACCTTGCACACGGAAGACCCAGTCCTGATCCCCAAAACCCCCAGATGGCCTCCCAATCTCTAACAGGAGTGATCACTGAGCACAGGGCCACAGGTAAGCCCTGAGCACTGCTGGGTAGGATCCAAAAACCAAAAGTACAAATAAATAAACAAGATCACCTCTATTTGTTTGGAATTTATAGTTCTAGAAATTTTTCCTCTCCTGATTTTCACACACTAAGAGCCTCAGACATAACAGGGCAGAAACATACCGAAACAAACATATAACTCTTGTCCAGCTCAAACATTAGGGAGACTCACAGAGAGCTTATACTTCCTTTAGTGTCTTTTATATCTTCTATTCTTACCACCCAATGCCCAAGTATCAAGAGCAGGGAATTCATTGCATAGAGGTATTCGCAAAAGCCTGCTCTCAAATCAAGAAAGCATAATTGTGCATTTTGGCTGCACTTCATTGCCTCCAGCCTAAGGCCATGAAAGGGTCAATAAAGGCTGGTGCTCAAGCACACCAACCCCAACACAAGGCTTTCTCTCTGCACACACCATGAAGCTCCTTTTCCCTCTCTTCGCCAGCCTCATGCTACAGTACCAAGTGAGCACAGGTAAATGGTAATCCTAGTTTTAACAGAAGCAGGGGTTGACAGTCTATGACAATGGAAACCCAAAGAGACGCTGAAAAAGGAGAGGCCCCAAGAGGTGGCTTTTACTGCTTCAGTCAGGCACCATCTCCTACGAATCCCCAGACAGCGCAATCCCAGATTTTATTTGATGGGGACACATAAGGAGCTGCAGAGAACTAGGGAAGAGGGAGAGAGAGAGAGAGAGAGAGAGAGAGAGAGAGAGAGAGAGAGAGAGAGAGAGCACTCAAAAATTAGGAGGCAAGGGAGTGGGAGAAAGAAAAAGGGGGAGTGGAGAGAAAAAGAAATTAGGAAATAAAAATGCTTTCTTGCTCTCTACACAATTATTACCTGAGACTCAGTACAAGTCTAACTCATTTTTGCTCTGTTTCTAATTTAAACCATCATTTGAAGCAAAAATCTCTCATTTTGTGTGTTGGTATAAGGAGGACGTCATTATTTTCATGCTCAAAGAAATCCCTCTTGTGATCGAATACACAGATTTGTGTTTTCCAGCTCAACTTATTAAGATTTTTACAGTTCCTTCTCTCTGTCTGATTTCTTGGAAACCCCCATTGTTTCCCCAAAAGAATATTTAGAAATGCAATATAGCCATGGGATTGACAATTGTGGGGTCTTTTTTGTGGGAATTTTTGGTTTGTTTTGTTTGGGGGCCACCCAGGATGGTGTTCAGGGCTTATTCGTGATCTGCACTTGGGATCACTCCTGGTGGTGCCAGGAATAGAACCCAGGTCGACCATGTGCAAGGCAAGCACCCTACCTACTACACTATCTCTCCAGCCTCCCCTTAATTGTTTTAATAAGAAAAAAGTATTTAGGAATTTGGAATAATTGACCAGGACAGGAAATATAGTCAAAGATATATTGGAATTAATTTTATTTTGGGACCCTAGGAAAATGGTAATGACATGTGCAAGTATGGTTGTGTTGTCTTGGCCAAGCCACTTAGACATTGTGCCACAAATCCCAAGGACTATATTATAGCAAGACTAAACAACATAACTCCTTGTATCACAAGAATTGTACTGTTTTGTCTTTAGTAAGAAACCATGGAAATGTATGCAAACATTGCAACCTACAAAAATCTCTAGCTACTTACAGAAAACCAGTAGAATGTTAAAATTAATGAGGAAGACATTCATAATTAAGGGAAAAAGTGAGACATTTAGGAGATGAGGTATTAAGTTTAGCATTTAATTTGAATTATAGGTAGCAAGGTGGGAGTTATCTCATTACAAATGAGGTTAAGACTATAAGAATGAATAATAACTCTAAGGGATAGTGTTTCCAAATAAACTGAAAATGGTAGTATACCATGCCCCAGGAAACAAAGGTCATGCAATTTTCAGGGTCAGATCATGGGTCACCCCATTTGGCAAGAAGTCAGAAACCCTGAAAGTCCTATTTATTCTCTTTTGAATTTCGCCTTTTTTTTTTAAATTTATGCATGAGGTTTGGGGCCATACGTAGCTGTGATCAGGACTTACTCCTGACTCTGTGTTCAGGGATGACTCCTGGCACTGCTCAGGGAACCATGTGCAGTACTGGGGATTGTACCCGGGTCAGCCAAGTGCAAGGCAAATGCCTTCCCTTCTGTACTATTTCTACAGTCCTCTAATCATCTTTACGGCAGATAGCCTTCTAACTATTTCCTAAGATTGGGGGGTCGGGGAATAGCTCTGACCTACAAATGTCTTAAGCTGCGAAGTTAAAGGTCTAAATTCCTATCCTGGAGAAAATAATTGAACTCCACTATAATTTAAGATTTAGCCCTAACAAATTCCTTCTTTCTTTACTCCTCTCCCTTCAGCTGTTTTAACATCATGTCTACTTATTAGCCATAGACCAATCACAATCTCTTTCTTTCATGCAGAGATCCTCAGTTGGAGAAAATGTTTGATGGGCTTTGGGAAATGCAAAGCCCAATGTGAGTCGAATGAAAGAGAGATACAGAAATGCAAGAGGAAAAAATGCTGTGTTGAGCCCAAAGTGATTCAAATGATCAAAGACTATCTTCAAAATGAATTGTCTCATTCATTTGAAGAGGAATCCCGAGGTCTGCTCCATGCTGCCAAGAATGGCGGAGTTGAGGGGAAAAGATCTGTTGTAAGTCCCCTTTCCCAGATCGGAAGCATCCACTCTATAAACTTCATCACCCCAAATTCCAGCATGATGGCCTTTTCTACCACCAACCCCGAGACCTCAGAACCGGAGATATACATCGCTACTGCTAACAAGAGGGACTCCAAAACAAACAGAGACTCAGCCACAGGCTCCCAACCTCCATCCCCGCCCCCGTAGATATGATCAACACAGACCTGGAGCTGGAGGACGCAGGGATGTGGATCTTTCCCATAAAGCACCGAGTTCCTCTCTACCTTTGCTCTCTCTTAAATGAGACATAGACCTGTTTCTTCTGTCATCAGTCTTCAATAAATTCTGCTTCAGCACCTACAGTCTATAGAATCTGATCATTTTTGTAAAAGCTTTATAAGAGAGATAGAGCTAAAAAAGATTTTCATTTTCACGCCCAGGAGAAAGCGTGAAGAATAGTGGTAGCATTGTATTTGGCCTATGCCATTGGTCAGATTCAGCCTCCGCAACAAAGATTTAAGGTTTCATATGGTTTTCTTGGGAGAGAGGGGGTAATAGAAAGGAAAATGTCAAGAATAAAATTTGTGGGGGCTGGAGCAATAGCACAGTGGGTAGGGCATTTGCCTTGCACGTGGCCGACCCGGATTCGATTCCCAGCATCCCATATGGTCCCTCGAGCACCGCCAGAAGTAACTCCTGAGTGCGTGAGCCAGGAGTAACCCCTGAGCATCACCAGATGTGACCCAAAAAGAAAATAAAAAGAATAACATTTGTTGACTTTCAGTCCACAGAAGCCAGTGCTCAGGGCTTACTCCTGGCTCTACATTCAAGGATCATTCCTGACAGGGTTCTCCAGACCATTTGGGATATTGGCGATCAAACCCCAGTCAGCTGCGTGCAAAGCAAGTGCCCTACCAACTGTACTATCTCCAGCTCCAAACTATTTCTCTTTTAGGGCTGGAGAGAAGATAATACAGAGTCGGATACTCGTCCTTACAGGCGGTCAACCCAGATTCTATCCCCAGCACCCCAAATGACTCCCAGAGCACCACCAGGTGTGATCCCTGTGTGCAGAGCCAGGAGTAATCCCTGAGCATTGCCACAAAACAAAAATTAAAATATTTTTCTTTTATGAAGTTTGTGAAATGGTCACCTGCAAAATAAAATGAAGGGAGACCAAGATTTTCTTCTCCCCAGAAACTTAAAACCATTTAAGATAATAATATGGGGGAATAATAGATCATGGAGCAGGTGTGGAACTGTGGGCTAGGCGTTTTCGGCCAGGTTCCCAATAAGACTGTCAACCCGTTATAAACCTTGGAAACTAGAGTACAGATCTAAGAGTGCCAGGTTGGGTTGGAGAGGGGAGGGGAGAGGAGAGGAGACGGGTTGCAAATAGGCTTCCAGGAAGCAACATGGGAACACAACTAGAGGGTTTGGAGCATGTGGGTGCTATTAAGGGAGATAACAGCACACACAAAAAACATGACTCATGACCAGCAAATAATGGGGGAATGGTTAGGGGGAAGGAACACTGGACTAGGGTACATAGGGATGGGGATGGTCATGGGCTTTTTGGGGACTGGAGAGAGCAGAAACTTTGAACATCAATACGAGAAACTTGCACATTATTGTAACCCTATTACCTAAACTGCAATAATATAAAAATCAAAAGTTAAAAATGTTTTAGAGATTCCAGTCAGACAACAGGTCATAGATAAAGGGATGTCTCTGACAAGTACTGAGTGCAGATCACACATGCAAACCATGAAAATAATTTGTCTTTTTTTAAAGAAAGAAAGAAAAAAGAAATCTATCATTATTTCAGATAAATTTTAGGCATTGAAAATATATGAGTTTTCATAAAGCAACCAATGGGCTGGAGCAATAACACAGCAGGTAGGGCAGCTGCCTTGCACGTGGCCGACCAGGGTTTGATTCCCAGCATCCCATATGGTTCTCCGAGACTGCAGGGAGTAATTCCTGAGTGCATGAGCCAGGAGTAACCCCTGTGCATTGCTAGGTGTGACCCAAAAAGCAAAAACAAAGCAAAAAAACATAAAAGCAGCTAGTGCTGGCATGGATGTGGGGGAAAAGGGATCTCTTTCACTGTTGGTGGAAATGCCCACTGGTCCAGTCTTTCTGGAAAACAATATGGACAGTTCTTCAAAAATTAGAAATTGAGCTTCCATATGACCCTGCAATACCATTTCTGGGAATATATCCCAAGGGTGCAAAAAAGCACAGCAGAAATGACATCTGTACCTTTATGTTCATTGTAGCACTGTTCACAATAGCCAAAATCTGGAAACACCCCAAGTGCCTGAAAACAGACGACTGGTTAAAGAAACTTTGGTACACCTATACAATGGAATATTATGCAGCTGTGAGGAGAAATTAAGTCATGAAATTTGCTCATAAGTGGATGGACATGGAGAGTATCATGCTAAGTGAAATGAGTCAGAAAGAGAGGGACAGACTTAGAAGGACTGCACTCATTTGTGGAGTATAAAATAACATAACATGAGACTGACACCCAAGGACAGTAGATACAAGGGCCAGGAAGATTGCTTCATAGTTGGAAGCCTCCCTCATGGGGGGAAGGGGGGGAGGGCACAGGGAGAAGGCAGCTGGAATAGAGAAGGAAATCACTAAGAAAATGATGATTGGAGGAATCGGTCGGGTTGGGAGATGTGTGTTGAAAGTAGATAAAGGGCCAAACATGATAACCTCTCAGTATCTGTATTGCAAACCATAATACCCAAAAGGAGAGAGAGAGTATGGGGAATATTGTCTGCCATGGAGGCAGGGGGAGGGTGGGAAAGGGGGGGTATACTGGGGATATTGGTGGTGGAGAATGTGCACTGGTGGAGGGATGGGTGTTTGATCATTGTGTGATTGTTACTCAAACACGAAAGTTTGTAACTGTATCTCACGGTGATTCAATAAAATTTTTTTAAAAAAAAGAAAAAAAGGAAATATATGAGCTTTCATAATAGATATAAATGCCATCAGAGAGAAAGATGGTGCCAATATAAGACATGTTAAAAGTCAAGTCAGGTTGAAGTGTCTGTATTTCATGAAGATAATTTTGAATTGTATTTTCTCTTTTTTTGTTGTTTTTGTTTTGGAGTCACCTGACGGTGCTCAGTGCTTACTCCTGGCTCTGTAGTTAGGAATTATTTGCGGTGGTACTTCGGGACCATATGGGATGCCCAAGTGGGCTGCGTGCAAGGCAAGTGCTCTGCCACTGTATTTATTATCTCTCACGGGCCCTAATTTTGGATTTTTCTGTTTGTTTGCTTGTTTTTATTTTGGGACAGTACCCAGAAGTTCTCAAGAATTTCTTCTGACTCTGCACTCAGGAATCACTCCTGGGGGTGCTCAAGGGACCATATGTGGTGCTGGAGATCGAACCCAGGTCAGTCACATGCAAGGCAGGTGCCCTACCTATCTCTCCAACCACTCTGGCCCTAATTTTGAATTTTTTAGTAGTCAATTTTAAGTTAAAAACAAACAGATAAATAAAATATTAAGATATATACTAATACAATAAAAGGTAAAGGCCCTCCCGTTGATCGTCGATTTGCTCGAGCGGGCCCAGTAACGTCTCCATTGGAGACTTTGTTGTTACTGTGTTTGGCATATCGAATACTCTCTGTAGCTTGCCGGGCTCTCCGAGAGGGGCGGAGGAATCGAACTCGGGTCGGCCATGTTGGCCGCTTGTAAGGCGAACGCCCTACCCGCTGTGCTATCAATAAATCTGAAATATTATTTCAAGATATAAATGGTATAAAAATCATTTTAAGTTTGCGTTCTTTTCTTGTGTTTTCTTTCCTAGATTTTTTGCGTTGGGTGGTTTTGGTTTGGGTGGGTTGTTTTGTTTTGTTTTTGTTTTTGTTTTTGAAATAGGGTCATTTGTCGTTGGGACTATCCTCTGCAGTGCTTGGGACATCTTGGGAGGTTAGACCTGATTCGCTGTGTCTGCCAGGCATGCTCCCAGCCTCTGAGCTCTCTCCCCAGATTGAGTTCTGTTTTTTCTTTTTTTCTCCATAATTCACACGTTTACAATAGAAGTAATGTTTACAATAATCACAGTCCTCAACTCCCCACCACCACTAGGGTACCCAATCCCTTCCACCAATGTCATTACGGTACAGTCTGGCCCTCTGGAATCCCACATATGTATTCTGTTAGAGTGTGTTTCAGATTGTATCAGTCACATTTCAAGCACCCAGTATTCCACTATAGCTATCACACTGGATAGAAGAGGTAAAAGAGTTTTGAAGTTACAAAAGTGAAAACAACCCAATAAGAGAGAGAGAACAAAAGGGAATGCCCTGCCACAGAGGCAGGGTGGAATGGGGAGGATGGGGGGTGGGAGGGATACTAGGATCCGTGGTAGTGGGAAATGGGCATCGGTGGAGGGATGGGTATTTGATCATTGTATAATTGAAACCCAAGCACAAAAATTTGTAAGTCTACAACTGTACCTCATGATGTCTCACTAATAAAAATAAAAATAATAAAAAAAAGTGAAAACATTGCTCAGTCAGGGAAGAAAGCCATACTTCTGAGGTTGTAGTCTAGAATTTCGGAGTATAGGGACTGGAGAACTAGTACAGAGGGTAGGGCGCTTGCCTTGCAAGGGCTGACCCAAGTTCAATCCCCAGTACCCTATATGAGCACTATCAGTAGTCAATCCTGAGCGCATAGCCAGGAGTAACCCCTGAGCATTGCCAAGGTGTGGCCAAAAGCAAACAAAAAAAATAGGAATATATCAAAACCATGAACATTAACATTATTGTAACCAAGCTGGAGAGAGTACAGAGGATAATGCACTTTCCTTACATTCAGTATTTGTCACCACCTATGGTTTCCTGAGCATCATCAGGAATGACCGTTAAGCACCTCTGAGTGTGGCCCAAACCCCCAACCCCTGCAAAACCAAAGCAAAAAATAATAATAATAAAACATTATTCATATCATGCTACCTAAGGTACAATGCTGCCTAAGGTACAATGGAAATAATAAAAGTGACAAATAAAAGTAACATAAAAGTAACAAAAAAGATTCACCCTGGGATGCCCATAGCAGCCCCCAATCCATTGGAGGGCTGGGTAACTGAATTTTATAACTTTGCAAAACCAATACTCAGATGAGAAACCTCAACTATCCAGCACGACTTCTACAGTTCTCGAAGTGAG